AGTAGCAGTCGTCGATGTGAATAGCGACAATAAACCTGATATTGTTGTTGCAAACTATGGTTCGACCACCGTCAGTGTTCTTCTCAACGCAGGCAACGGCATCTTTAATAATCAAACTACTTACACAGTTGGTACTCAGCCATATTCAGTGGCAGTCGTCGATGTGAATAGCGATAACAAACCTGATATTGTTGTTGCAAACTATGGTTCGAACACCGTCAGTGTTCTCTTACATTGCTAAGGCTTATCGATGACTAACCTTTATTTATTCATTAACACTTTACTACTCTACTAAGTATATTACTCTTATTAAACATTACACGATACAGACTAACATTTATCTTTACTCTACATTAAGAATTTTAACAAAACTTTGCGAACAAGATCGGCACTTTTTCTGCTTTTTTTCTGTCGTTTCTGCTTTTCCAATTTTTTTCTGCTTTTTAAAATATTATCTGCTTTTCATTTTTAACTCAATTTCAGTTCTAATAAATCATTATTGCACACATATCCGATGAATTCTTGGTACTCCACTTGCTGAGGCTGTTCTTTACCGATATATTTTTCTTTCTGAAGTATTTTCTACGAATCATCCAAATCTTTCAATTCATTGTATACAATCTTCTATCTATTGTACATTGTTAGTTAAGAATATCATAAGTTATAATATTTGTACTTAGCAGAAAAAATGATTGCTGCTAATGATAGCCATATTGATAATGACGAAGATAGTGAAGCATCGGTAACAATCGAGTCACAAATATCATTCAGTGATAGTTTGTAGAAACTGGCTATAAAATCGAAGAAAATTCATTTAAAATTATCTACAAATCCACAGAAATTTGTCGTCACATTTCCAACAACTCAAGGGAGGTACTCTCTATCGCTAACACTGCACTTCACTTCAATATTCAAAATACGGATTAAAACTCTTCAACGACAAAACTTTAACAGCTCAAATAAAGTTCGAATTTTCTAAAGGCAGCTTAGCTCACCTGTTATTCCGTTACTACAAACGAATGAACAAAAGCTGATAAAAGATATCTGTCTTGTACGTCATTTTTTACAATATTCGTCATAGAAGTGACCGAAAATGAAGTGAAACATAAGTATATAATGGCAGAAACGCATGGTAGATAAATTTTATCTGCTCTTTTTATCATAAAAAAATGCCGTACAAGATTCGATATTGTTTTTTTCACATTGCGGGATAATTAAAAAAGAAAGAAAAAGCAAAAGTTAAGATCTGTTTTCCTCTAACAAATTTTTTACAGCTTAAAGTATAGCTAATGATCGATAATGAATCAGCTAGATAAATCAGTGTCACTTGTACTTCGAAACTATATAAATTTAACTCTATTTTAGGATAACTGTGACAGCCTTGAAATCGTGCTTTCAATATCGAGGTGAAAATATTTATCAAAGATGTTAACAGTTTTTTTTGTGATCTTTAAAAAATGTTACTAGATATGATAATCGACTATGAAATTTCTGAAATGTTTATTATAGGTTAGAATGTATTGTATAGAACTATAAAAAGCATCTATTTTATTGTATGTCATTTTTGGAACATGTGTAATTACGATAAAAACATCAGAATCGTGACTCATGTTTGTCGTCTGACGACACTGTATTCTTACTGACATTTTGTTTTTCCTCTTTTAACATGGTATAAAATCAACCTTGTATATCGAAGTTTAATTAATTTCTAACGTTATAAAAATATAATTTGATATTAATGGTTGAAGCTGAAGATATTACTATTGAATTAATTTCATTTGGTCATTCATTTGGTGTTCCACAAAATATTGATTTATTGTATTCAATACGTCATTTCCCAACAATTAATGTTGAAAACTATCAACAATACGATGGACGACATAAACGAATACAAAGTCAATTATTAAATTTTGTGAAATATGAAGATATAATTAAAATGATTACGGAACAACTATCAAGTTTCATTCATAATCAAAAGAAAAATTTAATAAAACTAGCAGTTACATGTGAACAAGGTCAACATTGATCAGTAGCCGTTATTGAACGACCGACTGAATTGTTAAAAGTAACGTATAATGTAGAAGTAAATCATCGAGATTTACAAAGAACAAGATATGATAAGAAAAACAAAAAGAAAGAACACAAAATAGAGACAAAAAATAGACTAATTATGATGAAAATAATTAAATGGATTTTTGATATAGTGTTTTAGCTGTAATATTATTATGAGAACTTTTTTTATGACGATATATAAGCTTTTAAAATAAAAACTGATCTAGTTTGAAAATGAAAATGGTTTAATAATGCAATTGAATTTTTCTATACATCTGAATTAAAATAAAACTTCAATAGTTCAAATATTTTATTTGTTATAAATGACATACTGATAATTCTAAAAGAGGAAACGTTCATAACGCTCTGATTTATTTATCAATTTTCAAAAATCATATGAACAAAATTTATCCTTTTTCTTTATATTTTTATTAATTAATCCATAAATCCCGAATCATCGAGCTTTTCAACTAAGGCTGCAAGACCTTGATTAACAGCTTCTTGTGCAAACAAAGGAATATCTTCTAATCGACCATCATGAATTAATTGAAAAATATTTCGAAAATGTGCAAGATCACCCGATGACATAAATGTTTTCTCAGTAAAACTATGAATATTTTTCGACACTAAAAAAAATAACTATCTTTTATTAGCAAAAATAAGAAAGAAGTCTCACCAGAAAATGCTGATGCTAATATATCAAACCAAAATATTTTATTTTCATCACCCACACCCTCGAAAGTTTTTCGCCAAACAGAAATGTATATGCAGCATGAAGAAATTTTTCAATATTTTCCTTTGCTAGACGTTTAGCTGCAATACATGCTTCTTCATTTTCATCAAGGCTATCAGGACAATCACCTGGATGACCATGACAAATAAATTGGAGAGCAATATATTGTTGACTTTGAGGACATTGAAATGGTTCCGATGGATCAATAGATTCTAAATAAAAATAAACAATAGATTCAAGAAGAATATAATAGTGATCATATTTAACCTTTAAATGGAATAACGGGATGTAGAACATTGAATAATGATGATGCAGCACGATTTCTATTTGAACCAATCACTCGTTTATGATCAAACCATCATTTTAATAAATCATTAGAATTAGTTAACCAATGTGATTGAAAACCTTTAGGATATGGTCGAACAAAATGTGAATCAGGAGTTACTTCAATAACAGTTGTTAGGAAAAAGAAGATAAGGATAATAAGTAATGATGAAATAGACTTCGTCATAATCGTTGTACTGTTGAATGATGTTGTCAGTTCTATTATGGTGAAAGATCAGAAAAAGAAAAAAAATGTTTAAAGTTAGTAGTAAAAACAAAAGGTAAAATTCTCTAGAGACATATGAATAATTCTAGATTTTTTTTATTTATATTGATCAGATCTCGTACACGTATAAATAAATAATATTACATGATTATTATCTAAAATATAAATGAATATGATAAATTATTTATTTCAAAATGTTACAATTCAATAAAATATCTAATATTAGATTTAAAATTACAATCGTTGTCTTTCAAATAAATAGAAGAAATCGTATAAAAATTTACTCGATATAGTTATTAATGTATTAATAAGAGAAATAACTAAAACATTTTTATCTAATGCTTTAAATGATAGTATAGCTCGGAGACATAAACAAAAAATCTATCTACTATAGGAACTAATCAGTAGAGTACTTGTTTTGTTTTTGTGTTAACTGTGCTGTGATGCATTTTACGTTGGCAGATGAACAGGGGCATGATTATGATTAATAAAATACTTTTTGTGTTTATCTCAACAATAGATTATAATAAACGATGAAAAATAGAATATTCATTTAACCAATGTAATCTCATAATCATAAATTTGTACTTTTAACTGTCAAAAAAAAAATAGGCGTATGCATATAAATAATAATTCTCATAATGTGTTTTTATAAAATTTGTATACGGAAAATAATTGATTTTTACTAAAAAATCCTTAATATTATTAATAAAGATACTCATAGGAAAAATAAAAACATAGGTGAGTAATTATAGGTATTATTTTCCTTCAAAATGTACGTAATTAGTAATAATTGTTAATACTACATGAACACCCACACCCTCTATGGAAGAAAAACGCTCATGGCAAATCATTTAAGAAAAATTAATGAATCGTCGAATAAAAAGTAGACCACTAGAGGAAATGAACTATTTAATCGATTGAAAGTTTTTATCTTCAAATTCTATTCGATTAGAAATAAAGTCAAGTAGACAAATTAATATAGGTGAATAGCAGTCTCGGCTAGAGAGTAGAAAATTTAAGAGCTTACACAAATATATCTGTGATTCCAGTGAGACCGTAGAATTCAAATTATTTTTTTAGTCTTACTTTGACTTACTTGTATTTGAATAATAAAATCAGAAATACTAGCGTACCTAAAATAATTGTCCTATATATATTACTTTCATAAGTAGGAGTAAAGAACATTCAGCTTTTATAATTTCCCTGTTGATAAGCATGATAAATCGCCTACGTGGCAATCGATGTAAAGATTATCTTTTGTTTCCATATTTCAATGACAAAATAATTTTTGATTTGGTTAAATTTTCTTTTGCATTTTTGATAACAAGAAAAATATCAACAAGAGTCAAACAACGTAACAATCACACTGTAATTCATGTCGGTCTTAAATGAAAAAAAGTTCTCTAAGAAATCATATTAAAAAAAATCAAACAAAAAATGTTCGAAGTGCTCTAATGAGTTTTTCTTATATATTTTTTTGAAATTATTTAATGATTACGCGTGTCACGTTGGCGTTGGCGGGGTGGAGCTCGAGTAATATTATCAATACGTAATACCATTTCAGCTGCACTACTAACAACTTGACGTTTAAGATGATAGGATTTAACAATGCCAAGATCAACCATATCGGCAGTGACACCTTTGTCCATATCTAACAAAAACATTTACTATAGAAAAAAAACCCATCATCGATTAGAAAAAACTCTTACCAAGACCATATGTTGATTTTTCTGCTGTATGAGTAGCACGAAGATTAGCAACTAATTCTGCACTATCATAACCTACATTGCCAGCAATAATTATTGGTAAATAAAGATATTTTTTTATAAAAAGGGTGTGGGTGTGAGTATTGATGTCGATGAGGGTGTGGGTTTAGGTGTGGATGTAGGCGAGGATATGAATGTAGGTGTCTAACATCACGTAGCCCACCCATACCCTCACTAACAACCACGCCCACGTCATCAAGAATCTCACTGATTTGACAGAATTCACTAAAGTGAACAAGTAACTGGTTTGTGTGAGCTGTAAGAATATCAAAAAGTCATGAAGCTGAAGGACCTAAGACATAAGGAAGCTTTTAAAATTAAAGAAATTTCGATGAGAATCGAGAGTGTCGAACGTAGATGTCGTAGAGATCCTAAGGAAGTGTAAGCATGCTCTGAGTTTATGAAAGCTGAGAGTCGAGGGAATGCAGAGTATTCATCGAGACGGTGTGGATGTGGATGAGAATATCTTACTCATATGCACATCTACAACCTGTTATATTCCTTGAGTCCCGTCGATTCCAGTTGGTTTAGAAGTTCAGAAACCCTTAAGAGTTCAGAACTAACGGAACTTGGACACATTTTCTTTTTTCCAATGATTTAAATGTAAAGATGAAAAAAAAGAGAATAATTCTCTTTTTTCATCTACACATTTTATTGTGAAAGAACGTGCAAAGATTGAAAAACAGACATTCAAGATCAACAACAAACAAAAAATATTAATGAGAAGAAAGAGAAAAAGAATGCATGAAATAAATTGGATTTAAGTTCTGTGTAATTAAACATTGTTAATACGAGACTGTATTCATATTATTGCAAGACGAACCTCTTCGAAAAACAAAAAAAATCTGATGAGATAGAGGGAGTTTTGTTGTTCATCTAAATGTAATTTTCGATAGTCAGATTATCGAAATATGTTAGTAGACACAACATTTGAGGGACATGAAATTGAGGATGTAAATATATAATATATCTTTAATGTACCTGTACACACATCCTCACCAATACTCTGACTTTAGTCATACCCTGTCTTGACGGTGGGTGTGGATGTCTCTTCTTTCGTCTATTCGCAAAGGCACTCATGCCCACACTGGCACCCATACACTCACCCACACCCGAAAAAACCAGTGTCCTGCATATCTCTAATTGAAAAAGAGCAATTGTTGCGAAGACCAATAAGTCTGTGACAACAACATATAATAACACTATTTATATAGAAATAACAAGTGAACTTTGTTCGTTAGAAGTAAAAAGTGATACAAAGAAGTGTAGAAATGTATGGCTGTTTCATCTTTGTTTATCTGTTTATAACAACAAAATCGGATAATTGTTTGGTGTTTGATTAGTTGTGGCCACCTCAATTTCTTTGCACTGTTCGCCACAGGCGCCGGAACAAAAGTATAAGTTCACGACGGAACAATTGGCTTGATAATGTAAATATATAGAAACTCATGCAAGGACCTGTAAGAGCTACATAATTGGCCATGGACATAAACATGTTGAGTCTGGCTGCTTGGAGAGCACTCACAACCCCATCAGATATTGCCGTAGAATAAAAGAAATAGACCACATTTGGACTTGATGTTAGAATGAAAAATGTACATTGTATGAGCATCATTTGTATCAGTTGTCGATCTGTTGCCTTTTGACCTTGTTGCGGTTTGTTTTGAGTTTGAGGTTGAGCTTGAATAGGAATATTATTAGGTACGACTCGTTTCACAGTTTGACGAATGTTCCGTATGGTAAGTAACCCAAAAGTCAACATGCTGCCAGATGGACCCATAACAAAAACGATTAAATTAAAAATGTTATTAAATACTCTGTAAATTCCTGGAAGTATAATACAGGCTGGTCCTGCGATTCCACGTGAATAGATGAGCAGATATATGTAAGACAGACCAACAAGAAAAATCATAATCGAAGTGGCAGGAATAACAACACGAGTACTACTCCATCCGCGAGTAGTAACAGAAGATGAACTTCTCAGAAACCTATGTAAGATACATGAATTTTGTAATCGTTTCAAGTAAAATCAATGCTTAACCTGCCTGACCAATAGTGTTCATTAAATTCTACTGAAATTATTTTTTAAACAAAACAATGGTAATATATGAAACAAAAAAATACGATTTTGATTCTCAGACTCAAGAAACCCCTAACTAAAGTTGGAAAAGTGTTATTTTACTCTTTCTTAAGCCAGAAAATAGTTTCAACTATAACTATATGCAGAGATTCGACTCTAGAACTATCTTAATTAATGGATTATCATACTAACCTATCGGCACAAGCAAGTACAACGATCCATAGTGGTGTGGCTCTAAAACAAGACAGAAAATATTCATTTGTAGTTTATACAAGCTTTTTTCTTACTTTATCCAATTTAAAAGCCAATTTAAAATTCTACACATTACATCTGAGCTTGCAAAAACATCAATATTGAACACAGATTGAAGAAAACGTAAAGGTATATTAATATAGACAACACCCAAACCGGCCACTGCTGACGCCAAAAAATATTGTGAACATGCATTTGATCGAAGTGAGCGGCGTGTAAACACATATATACTTAAGATATGACCAACTGTACCAAGGAAAAATGTTACAAAGCTCCAGACTTCAACAAACAGAATTGTATTGTATTTGACAGCCTCGATAGCATCAATATCGACGCTTGCAGTGCTTGTATTTGGTGACGACATTTTGCATTCGAATAGTAGTGAACTATAAAATATAATCATTAATTGCATATATAGTTTTTACTTGAAATGATTGTGTCTTTATATGCGTCGCATGAGAGAAGATCAGAGGAAGGATAAAAGGTTAGATCATGCGAGAATGATTTACTTCTCAGAACATGGATCACATGCAATCGTTGGTTTCATAACATTTAAAGGTGAGATGCGTAAACAAACTACCCGAACGGTACTGTTACATAGGGTAGAGCGAAACCTGTTGTGGGAAGTTCCTAGTCGATTTTTTTAGTTACCTCTGTTTTCTAATAAAAAAATACCATATATGCTCATTTATACAAAACTCATTTATCACTGGGTTTAATAGATACAAAAATGTATGCTGAATTAACTGCTGCTTATGGATAAAATGTAGTTTTGTATTATACAGATACTCAATGAATTCATCGATGCTTAAATGAATGAAAATCCTTGGAGGATAATCCTCAACATGGTTGTCCAATAACCATCAACAATTTGAAATAAAAATAATGTTTATTATTATGATAAGTGCTTAGCAACGTGAGTGCAAAATTTATGAAAGAAGACATTAGAAGCATTTTAATGGTTGTTATTAAATTATTGAAAAGAAAAAGTGCTTATTCAAGCGATTAATTCTATGTGAAATAAATTTATAACTGTTATTAGTCACAGAGAACTGATTCTTTTATATGAAATCTTATTAATCTTATCAAAAGAGAGTACTCATTTTCACAAACCTTACCAGAAAAGTGTAAAATAAATTCGAATTCAAACTAATTATAGAATATGTGACAGACCAAAAGATGTATTGATTGAACAGCTGTTTATTCTGATTACAGCTCTATATAATATAAATAATTCCGGTCTCATAAGCAGAAACCAAAATGTTTTAATTCACAACAACAGTATCACGTAGTTCGGAAAAAACTGATTCAGAATAAAAAGAAAACATCGATATTTTCGCATTGTATTGATAGTAATACATATTATTTTATAAATTTCATAAAATTTCTCGTTATAATAATATATTAATTATCGCGAGTACCAAAACGAGAAATTGTGTGCCACTTCTCAATCAATATCCGAAGATGTTATGATCAGTATGATTTATTTAAAAGTAATAGCATAAGAATAGAACAGCTATAAAGTTCACTCACCTTAAATTTGATCAATGGTAATTGAGATTGCTTCCGTGATGTTAATAGATGAGAAAAGAAAATGTGTTTATAATAATAAATACCAAAAAACAGTGACTATGGCACAAAAGATAATCTGAGCGTATGAAATACATCTATCTCTAATCTTGCAGAAAAACACTCATCTATATGTAAGAGACAAAATAGAAAAAGGACATTTATCTATTTAACATAAAAATAGGAAAGAGAGTAGCATTAATAATAAAGGAGAACATGCAAGAGCAGAAAAAGACAAACTAGTTATTTTATAATCTTCTAAAACGTGACGCATTTGATTACATAGCATCGTGCTACTTATTTGCATTGTTCTTGTTAATATGAAATGATAAAAAATCTCATTGAGCAAGAAAAGGTCTACTAGGATGTTCTTTGTACTACTCAGATAATTGAAGACAATATTATGAGATAAGAAAAGGAACTATGCATTAACAACGAGTGGACCACAATAAATGGCATATTTTGTATTTCGTGAAAGGCGTGGGGTGGATATCATATTATCTTTCTATTGACTCACCCACATCCAGCAATATTTTCTCCTCCACGCTCTTTTCTAACTGCAAAAATAAACTATAATGCTCTCAGTAGTAAAAACGTTTTTTGTTATAAAAATAGAAGTTTAATGTATGAAACGCAACAACATACTTGTAGTTATTCAAGCGACGGCACTTAGATGGAAAACAAGTGTTGTTTTTATTGAAGATATTGCTATTTCTGAATAACTTTTCTCTCAATGTTGAGCAGAGGACTAACGAGGGAAGTATCCAAAGTGTCCACTCAACTTATACCTTGAGTTATGATCGGTTTGATGAATTTCCTAGTGGTTTTTAAGTCTGTACCGAAAGATCAAATAACGGAGTTTCGACCTAAAAATTTGATCATAGATAGCTATATTAGTCTTTAGAATATCCTAAAAATTTCATACAAAAAAGATATTCCTTTGACGAGATATTGGGTTCTCGACTAAACAAAAACCTAGTAAAATGCTTGTGACAAGCAACTATTTTTTGAAAACTGAATATCTCGAAAAAGGAGCATTGTTTTTATGTGAAATTTTTAGGATATTCTAAAGACAAATATATAAGAATTGAATTACATATACAAAGTAAAATTAGAGGTATCCATACAATAACAATATAAATAAATAATAAATATAAACGATGAAATGTTTGAAGATATTTTTTTTGTTTAGCTAAATTAATTCTTATTTTCAATATTATTCATATTACATGTAACTTTTCTTTCAGAATATGTTGTTAATGTACATATTAAATGACGTGATCGTCGTACTGAACATGTATGTTTAGCATAAATTGGTCTTGCAACAGCTAAAGGACAAATACTAAATAGCATGAATGAGATACAGCTAGTACTGTTAAATAATTATTTGTACTTGCTCGTATAAGACGCCGTTGTGTTAAAACAAGTAATGGCCTGATATAAAATTTCACAATAAGACGAACATTTGATAAAATTAAAAAAATATTATCTACTGAAAAATTATTATACATTATTTTTTTAGATGCAAAGATCTATCTAGAATAAAATAATATTGATTTTTTATTAACGATAATTTTTTCCTATTTCTGTTCATAATTATAAATTATATTTAAATATAAATGCTTTGATTCCGATTCATGGTAGACGTAATTAATCATATAATAGTTTGTGTATGAAACAGAACTATTTATTGACATTGATTTCTAATACATGTTTTGATTTATTTTTGTAATATACCAATTAATTATATTTTTGCATGTTCATGTCAGTTAATAAAAAAATGCGTTTGTTACTATTTGTCTAATTGGGTTTATATACTAGTTCACGTTAAATACTAATTCAATGTTAATATTTTAATAATTTATTATTTAACAAAAAAGAAAGAAAACAATTTTTTTTAAATACACACAAATTTAAAATAAAGAATATGTGGGATATATTTTAATGAACAGATTTTGAATATAAACAAAAAAGAGACAAACCAAAAATACCGCCTTTTTTTCGTTCTTCTTTACTATTTTTTTTATTTAGTTTTGTTGTTTTTTTTATTTTTTGATGAGGTATATTTGTTTCATTTGCATCTTGATTATCATCATTAACGAAATGAACACAATGTCTTTGTATAAATCTTGATAACTCATTTAACGAACTTGAACATGGAAATTGTAGAGTTATTATTGATTTTGGATGTGATATTAGAGACATGACTCCATTTGACTGAAAACTTCTTAAACAATTTGTAAAATAAGGTAACAATGTAAATGAAGATGTTGAGCAATGTGGTAATTCAAGTGTTACACAATGACGATCATTTTGTCCTAAATTTAAATGGTTATCAAATTTTATTGATTCGCGAGAATGAATTTTTATTATCTTACGTTTTTGTTCTTTTGACAAAATAAAATCAGATAATGTTTGATGTTGAACAAATGCTGGTGGTTTAGGATGTTGACGAATAATATTTTGTAGAATTAATTGCGTGTCTATTGGATGGTTATTAATTTGTGATGCACATTCATTTGAACAAAATAATGCACCATCATCTTGTAAAAAATCATTATTGTTATTATTATTTAAAGGAATACGACAGGTATAACAACAAAAACATGTTTCTGTTGTATGCCATTGATGAGATTCACGAGTTATATGTGTTTGATTGATCTCAATATGTTCACAACATGTATCACAATAGTTTACATACATGGTTTCAAAACCGTTTAAACAAAATGCTTGATTGTTACGCATAACATAACGTTCACCATTTAAACGCTCATTGCAATTTGAACATAAATAATGATTCCAACTAGGATCGTCTGTTTTAATACATTCAAAACTAAACATAATCTAAATAGATAAAAAAAAATTATTTTTTCTCTTATGCAACCATATATGAAGAGATCATCATAAGTAAGAATAATAGAACTTAATTATTCGTTCGAGTTATTTATAAAGTTATGTGGTTATTATCAAAGAATATCTATCCTAAAAGTTTAATATTTTGATCTTTATTACTATCAATTCACACATTAAAGTCATGTTTTTATTATAGGATGAAACGAAAGATGTTCTCTCTTATTACAAATTCAACTTGAATATTATTAGATTAAGTATGAAACTTTTTCTTCAACAAAATACATACTTGATCACAATTTGTGTATCGTGGTTTATATAAATCAACATGATGTTGTTCACAATAGAGTTGACCATCGTTATAAAAATACATTAAATCAACCAGAAATTCTTTGCATTGTGTACATGTAAAACATTGTGGATGCCAAAGATTAGTATAATCATCGGATCGTGTCATATATATACATGGCGAACCTAAATCTATTAATTGTTGACACTAAAATAAAAGAAAGAAAATTTATTATTCATGTTCAATTATTTTTCTTTTATTTGACATTCAGTGTTTTGGTAAATGCTAAACATACTTGTTGCTTACTACAATCAATGAACTTTTGTGACAAGAATGATAGATCATTATTACTATGAATAGAAGCTAAATTTTACTTTTCAACAATTGCCCTATTCACATTCCTTGGAGATATTAAAAATTATTCATATTCATTATCAACTTTTTAAATCTTTATATCTACATCTATGACTTTGTCTTCATTCATTAAAATATGAAAGAAAATTAATGTAATCTTAAACTTACTCCACGACATGGTGTAGGTGATCGACAATGAGATAATTTTGTAATAGATCCATAACCAAGTGCATTATTCTGTTGTTTGATGAACCTTTTCACTTCATTTATTTCATGTTTACGAAAAAATGCTAGTTGTTTATACATTTTCTATTCAAAACAAATATTCGAATAAATCAAATCAATACTTTGAAACTTACTGTTTGCTAGTTCGTTTTGTTTATGTTTTATTAAGGAGAATACTGTAATAAGAAATGTTGTGCTATCTCTGAACTGATTGTTGTTCATCTATTTCCTCGTATTCATATATATATATATCTGTTACGACAATGAAATGATACATTGTCGATGGAAGAATGGACTAGCCTATGAATGAACAGAGGTCCTAGTCAATGCCTATAGTCTATATAGGCGTTCGTTATGTCGCATTTATAATGCTTCATAGATGCGTTAGCATGTATAGTCATGCATAGAAGAATCGTCCGTCTATAGTAATCATACACTTCAGCTTATGCAAACGTTGCCTATCGAAGATTGTGAACTGTAATTGTAACAACTACGTGTTTACATTAAACAAATTCTATTATAATTTATCAAATCTTGATATTTTTGCCTAAGACAACATTTGACTTTTATTTTAATTTTCGTTTTTTTTCAGCAAAACAACCAAAAACACTGAGGTAGTCCTAATAAAAAAAATGCACACTTTTTCATTATTGTTCTTAGAACAAAAATCTAATGTCGTTTTGTTGTTCTGCTTCGCTGTACAGAATTAGTTATATATGAAAAGAAAAAAAAAATTTTCAACAAGACTTACACACACAGATATTTTTTACATTATAGTGGACATAAAGAAAGAAAGATCATCATATAAAAAAAAACATACATAATATATATTATATAAAACAAAAGAGAAAAGAGAGATTATGGCTGAAAATTGCCATCGGCACTGTCATCTTCTGAATCGATCATAACTTTTCGTCGTTTATTTGTTCCACCAGATTTTTTCTTACTTTTTGATGGTAATGGTGTTGTTGTAGATGATGATGATGTAGTCGTTGTTGTTGAAGGTAATAAATCTGATATTGATTGTACTGTATCATCTGTATCTGTATCGAATGCCAATAAATAACGTTTAAAATCTTGAAAATCTTTTAATATTTGTTTACGTCGTTGTATACTATCCATATGATTTGATGGTGTAATTGCATCAAGAATTATTTTAGGTTCAAATTTAATATGCATTTTTCGAGATATTATTGGTCGATCTGTTACTTTACTACTTTCTGTATGATCATATTCAGTTATTTTTGCATCATTTAAACTATAAATATCTTTAAGATAAGATTTTAATATTAATAATAACATTGTAGATTTTGATGTACGTAAACATTGATTTAATTCATCAATAATTGTATCAGATAATGTAAGAAATTTTTCTTCAAATTTATTTATATCAATACCTTCATCATCATCAATATAATCTAAATATTGTTTTAATAAATCACGAAATTGTTGTAATTGTGTTGAACCACTAACACTTATTGTTAAATCAATTTGTTCAATTAAATATAATGGTTCATCTTGTACTTGATAGGGAAAATATGCTAAATTATCAGCAACAAATAATTGTTCTTCAAGTGTTGTTGATGTTGTTGTTGTTGCATCATTATCAAACATTTTTAATAATTGTGATATTAAACCACGACGATAAACACGAGATGAACGAATTAATGAATAAAGAAAATGATTTACTGAACAATAGGGAAATTGTTGATTATTTGTGGGAGTTACTGCTACTTTTGTCATGCCTAAAATAAAGAAAAAAAATGATTCGAAAATCAATAAAATTCATAAGCTCGGAAGTCATTTATTTATGTAATATCTTAACTAGACATACTCTACTGTGTATTTTGCTCGGTTTAACGCTATCCTGTACTGCAGGGCAAGGTAGATTATGGCTGACTTTGAAACTCCACTACAAATTTCCTTACTCTACTTTGCACTCATCGTATCCTTAGGGTGTGGGTGTGGGTGCAGTGATTTATCCATCGGGGGAGGGCACGGGGCTTTTTGTCCTCTCGGAGGGTGTCTCTGTCCCCAGAAATTCAGAAAAATTACGCTTTTTGAGTCTGAAACTCTACGTTTGCCCTCCCGGCAGTTAATTTCGCACCCTAGGACGAAAAAAGCTGGATAAAACACTGCGTGGGTGAGTTAGTATTATATGCATACAACACCCACCCACATCCTCAAGATAGTTTGTATATCAGTTAAATTATAGTTTTTAAATTAAATTATTTTTACCTCTAATTATATCGAATTGTACACTTGATTGTTCAGTATTTTTATTATTATTTTCTATTGCAAGTAATTTTTGTAATTGATAACTCATTTTTAATCCATGCATAACTTTTGTTTGTATAATACCTGGGTTGGTTTTATCTAAATCTTGTAAATTTTGTTCAGCACTTTGTTGAATATTTGTATCTCGATCAGTTGTCATTGCAATAAGATATGGAATAAATTGTACTGGATGTACAAGACCTTGTTCTAATATACATGTTACAACTTTTCGTACACATTGACGAATTGTTTCATCTTCACTTAAATATGTATCTAATACAACACGTAAATAACATTGTGCTATTGAACTTGCCATTTCTGAATGCATATCAGTTGTATCTTTAAGATTTGGACCTGTTGGACCACTAGCATCATTACTATTTTCATCATCATTTGTTGTTGTTGTTGTTGTTGAAGGATTTATTGTTGTTGCTGTTAAATGAAGATAATCAACATCTTGTTCAGACATACGACGTATACAATCACGAAAATATTCTTCTAAATTTATTAATACTTGACAACGTAATTGTGCAGCCGCTGGACGTCGATCAAGTAAATATGTATGATATAATTGACGAATTGTTTCACGTATAAGATATTGTCCATAACGTTGTAAAAAGAAGCCAAGACCAACAAGAGATTTTAATTTAACAACAGATTCAGGTCGTCGAATGAAAAATATAAATAATTGAAAAATATCATCGACAGAAAACTAAAAACGAAATGAAATTCTTCATAAATACAAATCACCATTTCATGTTAGAATCTTTCCGACTTGAGCTGAGAGAATAGTTTTATGCAAAGCAGATCAACGAAATTTTATTATTCGAAAACTCAATCGCTGTCGCACAACATCGCGATAATCTTTATATTCATTTAAAAGAAAATAATTTATTTACCTCTAGATCATCGAATTCATTTTTTTCTATATCAAAATATTTACATAACACTCCTAAAATATAAATTGATCGAGCTAATTGTGCACTTCCTTTAAATTCTTCATCAGGTTTTTCTAATATTTTCTGTTGACATTGAATTACAATAGCTAAATAAAAAATAAAATAAAATTTTAAAATCTTTGTTTTGTCTTTTTGGTTCACTTACAATGATATCGTATAAAAACATCTTTAACAAGTTGTGTATTTTTCGATAAACGTATAACCGCTGATAAACAAGCTATGCTTGAATGTATAACTAATTGACCACTAACAAGAAGAAGTTTTGTCAAACTTCCTTCTAATGAATAAATAATACTTGATGATGCTGATTTCATTAATGGAACAGTAAATTCAAGTATTTTAGCAACATATTGTACAATAATATTATCATTATATGATGTACATTTAATATTTAAATATTCAACTATAGTTGATACATGTGGTAAAACATGTTCAGGTTTAGCTTTACCTAATGCATAAAGTGCAATAAATATTGCAACCATTTTATTAGATGAAACCTAGAAAAAAAATATTCAATCAAATTCCAATAATAGAATTTAAACTAACTTGATCACTAGCTGATTCAATTTTAAGTATTGATTCAACTAATTCATTAATAATATCTTGTATAGCTTTTAGAACATCTTTACGTTGTTCACGAACTTTTTTCTTATCATCATTTGATTGTTTATCATTTGTTTGAAGAAATTCTTTAACTAAATTTTCTAACCATGTATAATTTTGTTTTTGTGCATCGACTAAAACATCAATTATTGTTTGTACACGTTGTCGAACATCTTGTTGATTACGTATTGGAGAAAACCATAATTGTTGAAATGTTTCAAGAACTAATTTACGTATGGATTCTTCATCATGTATACGTCGTAATAAACGTGAACATATATCAGGTGTACGACTAAAACTTGGTTGGGTTAAACAAACATCACGAAATATTTTAACAACACGTTTTCGTACACTAACACCTAGAAAATATATTTTATATAAATACTAAAAATTTCTAATAAATAAAACCATCCTACCTGTATCAATACTTCTTTCACAAAGAACATCATAATACTGTAATATAAGTTCTTGTTTTTGTACAATATATCTTCCAATAAGATCAATAGCTGCTTCACGTACACTGATACTTTTATCTGTTAAACCAACTTTAACACATGATTTAATATCATTACGTGCTAGCACAGTTGGATCAGCTTCAACAACCGTACATAAACATTTCATTGCTTTACTACGTATGTTTGTACCAGCTTCGGATTGAAATATAGCTGCTAATTGTTTAAGATAAACATCAAATGTTTTTAAAAATGGACGATTAGATGTTAAATAACGCATTAATAAACAAATATCATCATATTCAATATCTAATGTATATCGTTGTTGTTTACGTGCTGTTTCAGGTAATGAAAGCATTTTAAGAATAGAAATTTTTTCATTTTTCTTCATTTCAATTTCGTCTTCAATTGATATTGAAGGTTTAGAATCTGTATTCATTGATTCATCAACATCATCATCAACTAATTCAGCTTGTCCAGGTTTCATACGTCTTGTTAATGTTTGAGTTAAACGTTCTACTGTTAAATTTAAATCACGAAGCCATTGACCAATATGAAACATTTTTGCAAACTAAAATAATATATAGTATATTTCTTCTTCTTCTCTCTAGATTAAAATATAGAACTTACATGACTTGTTTGATCACTTAAACTTAATTCATTGAGATATATAACTAAACTACGATGATAACGTAATGGATCAGTTTTATAAACATCCATAACATCTTCATCCATTTCAATACTTGTTAAAGTCTATGAAAAAAAAGCATGATTAGAAGAAAAAAACGAA